ACATCTAAAATAACAACACTGTAAAATGACTGTATTCTGTTAACACCTCCACTATAGTGACATGGACACAATAATCAGAATATTCACATTATTCTGAATGAAACATTAATTCAAACACGTTTACGCGAGTTTCTAAAACGTATTTATTTTCCTGTTAAAGAATCTGATAATGACTCAATACGTAGACACACAAACATACAGTCCATCACACGTAGCGACTCCAGCGTATTTCAAAACACAGACACGTGTGTTTAAAAAAAAAAAAGTACATGTGATGAATTTCTACAAGCTGCAGAGTATTTATAGTTTCCCAGAAAATGTTTCATGCATCATTTCTGAAAGTGAAATGACTCACGTGGAACAGAAATCGTCTCAAACGGAGTAAAAACACGAGTTTGAATCCGAGACACGAACTCGACCGTCTCATGATTCATCTTCTGCTGTGACTCATGAACGTTTAAATACAACGAGATCCTCCCTAAATATTTATCACTGATCTCCTTCACCCGCACTGATGATGTGACCGTTTACTTTCTGTGATCGTCGTTCGATCATGTCTGATTTCTTCCCGTTTCCGTGGCGATGCAGGCGACATCCTCGGCCCCTCCATCAGCGGCCTGGACTCTCTGATCCAGATGCCGTACGGCTGCGGCGAACAGAACATGATCAACTTTGCTCCCAACGTCTACGTCCTGCAGTACCTGAGCGCCACGGGACAGGCCGACCAGGACACCACGGACCGAGCCACGCGCTACATGCTGACAGGTAGAGCACGGACACGCTCACAAGTCAGAAAAATCTTTCACACAAAGCTCTGCGTCTAATCGCTGCTGCTTCCCTCAGGTTACGAGCGGGAGTTGACCTTTCAGAGGAAGGACGACTCCTTCAGTGCGTTTGGAGACCGGGACTCATCTGGAAGCACCTGGTGCGTTTACAGAGACATTGAATGTGTTTAATTTAAAGATGTGAACAGGAAGAAACGTCTGTGACGAATCAAACATCTTTTCTTCCGCAGGCTGAGCGCTATGGTGCTGAGGTGTTTCCTGCAGGCGCGGTCGTTCATCGCCATCGACGAGCACGTGCTGCAGGGAACGGCGGCCTGGTTGGGATCCCAGCAGGGGGCCGACGGGAGCTTCGAGGAGCACGGCCGGGTCATCCACACAGAGCTGAAGGGAGGCCAGGCCAGTGTCGTCTCCCTCACAGCCTACGTCCTCATCGCTCTGCTGGAGGACGACAGCGTCAAGGTCAGAGTCCGTCACTGTTCACGATATCGTCTAATGGACATGAAACATTATCTGTTTTTTAAAGTTTTGGTTTTATTTCTGTGCTTAATTCATTTATTCCGTTTTATACTTGATTCACCGTCTTAGTTTTCATCTTATTTAAACTTATTGAGTCATTTTTTTAATGAACTAATTTACAAACTGTGAAATAACTTGATCAGCTGCTGGATGAGAATTTAAAATGTGTAAAGATTTGAAGTTTGAGGCTTTTTCACAACGTTGCATTGATATTTTGAAAAGTAGAGAAAAGCTGAAGGAAGCAGAATAAAAAAATGTCTCTTGTCTCGTCTCTGAAGTTAACTGTGTCCCTGCTCTCTGTCTGTCAGGCTCAGTATGGGAGTCAGGTGTCTTCAGCGTTGATGTACCTGGAGACTCGTCTGTCTCTGGGAGTCGTCAGTAACTACAGCCTCAGTCTGCTCGGCTACGCTCTGGCTCTGTCCGGCAGCTCCAGCGCCGCCACGGCGGTCAGTCAGCTGATGGAACGAGCCGAGACGATCGGTACGAGCGTGAAACTTAAAATGAGAGAGTCAGTCACGTCTGCATTAAAGGTTCAGTGCGTAAGATTCAGGTGTTGTTGGAAACTGAATATAAAATAATATAATTGGTGTTTTCTTGACTCTAGAATGAGCCGTTTAT